ATGTCATGTCATGTCATGTCACGCATTACTCTGTTATTTATAAGAGATTCTTCCAGATATGAGGAAGTGTTGTTACTGATAAAACACATTTTAAATCAGTCAAACACTTCCTGTACTTGTATCTCTGTCCAATTCAAGTGAATTTAAGTTGTACTTTGTAATCACTTATTGATCACAAGGGCTCTCAAAATTTCAAAATCCCCGGTAGCCCTTCAAGCAGGCACTCTTCAGATTTTGGTAGCCCGAAATAAATGTAACTAGCCCAAATAAAAAAGACAATTTTTTGAAATATAGGAGTCGAAATGCCAATCAAAAAACTTTTCAAAGCACAAATATCAAGGAAGGAATTTAATTTTTTATTTATTTGTTTTACATCACATTTCAGTCTTTAAACTATTTTTAAGAAAAGGGATGAGTCAAATGTATAAATGATCATATTAATTTAAAACCTATATATTACTGTCTTAATTGTTTCGATTTTTAGAAGGCACATTAGCTTCTTTCACAATTACAACTCTGCGTGCTTGTTGCGTAAAACATGGGTTGATTTTTGTGTTGATCTGAACAAACAGTAGAAAGGCTTTTTGAAAATGCAAATTCATTCTTTGCCACTAAGTGGAACTTTTGAAACGGCTGAAATATAGTGGTTTTCCTGGTAACGGCTATACACAACGCAGCACTGCGCTCGTAAATACTACTTTATCAGACATTTTTGGTAAGACAACCCTCTACATTGCGAGTAAATCACTCGCATATGCGACTAAATCTTACTCTGGGCGACTAAATGTCTAACATAAGCCATTGGCTAATAAATTCTTAGATTTTACACGCCAGTATGTGTGTGAGAGGCGTTCAACACAGATTTTCACTCGATAAACACGCTGGCTGAGCGCTTGAGAGTTTCGCTCTCCGTCAAGCGATCTGTACTATTTGGATGCGCTCAGTGGATCATGTCATGTATTCAATGGATGCGCAGTATGTAGCACGCAGTGCACCTGTATTTGACGTACCGTAAACTAGTGTGAAGGCGCATCATTTGTAAAACTGTTATAAAAATGAAGTAAACAAAGGTTTTTTTTACTTTTAAAATTGTAAAAATGCAGAAAGTTTTATGTGAGGGGTAGGGGTGGGTTTAGGTTAAAAAGTAACTATCTGTATATAAAACCAATAGAAGTCTATGTAATGTCCCCATTTAGATAAGTAAACGTGTGTGTGTTTGTGTGTAAAATAGTACATCAGTCTGGCGAGTAAACAAAAAAATGTACTAGCCAATGGCGATTATATTGCCAAGATGTGCGTAGAGGGTTGTAAGATGAAGAGAAAATGGCATCGAAACTCTTCTGAAGACAGTCGGTTCCCTTCAGGAAAAAAAGGCCGGTTTCATGCTGCAAGCGTGAGCAGCACACGTATGTTTTTTCGGCGTGCATGTTAACAAATGAGAGCATTCACACTGAGCGCAGGAGCAGTTTTTTTTGTAATCGCTTGTAGAATTACATTGTGTTTTTGTTTGAAGGTTTTTCACTAGTAATGCTAAATTCAAATGCTGAACCTTGGAAAACTAACGTGTTTCTGCACATGATGCGTGTATTTAACATTGCCTACTTTGCACCTGGCCCTCCTCAAGTTTTTGATCCAGAACAGTTACTGTATGACAACAGAAATGAAAACTATGCTTTGAGGACAAAAATATAATCTCTTCAGTATGCCATAATGAGAGTAACTCACCCTCACTGTACAAAATGTTTATTTCTTGATTTCAGTACAGATGTATTTGTCTTACATGTTGGTGAACTCCCAATGTATTCAAATGATGTGGCTAAAGATTAACCATGAATTATTAAAGGAAACATTTTCCCAAAGTGGGTGGAGTTAAATGTGCCAGATGCTATGCCAAATATTAGTGTGTGGTAAGGAGAGATGCACCGATTGCAAATTTTCTTGGCCGATTCCGATTTTTTGTTAGTGTGATCTGCCGATACCGATTTTTGCTGATTCCGATTTTCTTTCGAAGAACTATAATTGACAGCATATACAATATGCTTATATACATATTTTCATAAAAAAACACAAGTAAAAAGTCAGTAATAAAATAAGAACAAATAAAAAAATTGCAAACAACAGCACAAATAAATGCAATAGAATAGTTTTTCAGGTTAAAGGCACAATATGTAAGATTTAATGAAAATATCCAAAAACCACTAGAACAGTTTTATATATTTTGCTGACTTGTGTACTTACATTATCCCAAATGTTTCGAAGAATGTTTAAATCCAGAGAAATAAGCAATTTTAACTAGTGACACGGACCGTGTCCATAGTGTCATTGTGTCGCCTGCCAATGACGTCATAACCCCTCGATATCCGGTTTTGTTTTGTAGAAAACATGGAAACACCAAAGACGCTTTAATATGTTGTGCGTTTTAATAGACCG